TGTTCCGAGTCTAAATAAGAATAAGGCCGCGTTCGTTTGAAGGGGGAATGACCATCAGGAAATATTCTAGCCCGGATTCATTATGTAATTTGAATAAGCTTTAGTCAACAAGAATGGTTCCTGGCCCGGATTCAGTTGAACCGATCGAACGAGCCCTAAAGAATTAGAAGAGAACCGACCAGGCATTCCTGAACCGGAACGCCTTGGTCCACGTACGTCCTGATCACCGCCTCTAGTGCCTCCCGCGTCGACTTCTCGGTCTCGGTAGCCCAGTCCCTATAGCCTCGCGTCGAACGTGTTCCGCTGCGCCACCCGGAACATCTGCGAGCACTCCGTCACGTACCCGCGGCGACCATGACGTCGGCCATGGCGCGGAGCAGGTCCTCGAGCAGTTCGTGGAACCCTTCAACCTTCATGGCCCAGTGGAGCACGGCGGTGATGCGATATTTCACAGCGGCGGCGTGCTTGCCGCCGCCCTTGGGGCTCTTGTCCGGACCGCCGCGATGCGCGTGATCACGGCGAGCAAATGAAAGCTGATATCATTAATTGGAGTCAATGAAAGCTGATACAACTAAAAGCACATATTAGAACCAGTAGAGATGAAAGCATGCAAATACATATAGAGTATACTGATGAATTTATGACAAGTAGATAGAGGTTATAGATTGTCTAAATAGGCATTTTAGTAGGAAAAATGTATAGAGAGACTAAAGATTTGAATTTTGATTATTTCAACGTACTAAAATAAAAATAATACTTATGTAACGTAACATTCTAGATTGCATTTGACCTAGCCAACTGATAAGTGATAACCATACATTGACCGTACCAACCTCAGCCATCTCAGTGCGCTTGTTCCCTTCTTGGCACTTCTTCTAGTTCTACCACCGCCAGCGCCAGCGTCATCTCTGATCTCCTTCTCCTCCCCGCTCGTGTATAAGTAGCAGCCTGCAGCAGGTAGAAGGTGCACATCCATCCATTTCTAGCTGCCGAGCTCTTGGTCTCGCGCGCACTCAAGGAAGGAGAGCCAGAGCTAGTCGTAGCACTCGCGAGAGCAGAGCAGACAGGAAGCCATGGCTACGTCGGCGGTGAAGGTGTACGGGTGGGCTATCTCGCCGTTCGTGTCGCGGGCTCTGCTGGCCCTGGAGGAGGCCGGCGTCGACTACGAGCTCGTCCCCATGAGCCGCCAGGCCGGCGACCACCACCGCCCGGAGCACCTCGCCAGGAACGTACGTGCCTTGCTCCCTCGATCCACCATGAATTTGTTTGTTGGTTTCACTTTCGCTCCGCTCATCGGCCATCCCTCGCTTCGCTGACGCTGACTGACACGCGCTCCTGTGCTTAATTGCTGCAGCCTTTCGGGAAGGTGCCGGTGCTCGAGGACGGCGACCTCACGCTCTTTGGTAAGTTCATCATCATCCATCGGACGTGTCGTAGATCTATTATGAAAATATATTTCATGATTAATTTAGTAATATTCACATAATAATATTAATTTTTATATATATTTAGTCGAATTTAAGATTATTTAACTCTTCTTCTACGATTATTGAAATCTTTGAGATGTGAGGTGTACATTTTTAGACGAACGGAGTAATTCACAGTTTTATCCTAAGTCAACCTTTTCAACTTTAAGTAAGTTTATAAAAAAATATGCCAACATTTGCAACATCCGCTTGGAACATCCTCTTGCAACATCCACTTGAAGCACCTGAAAACGCTTGAAACATGTGGATGAAACACCCGCAACTTCGGCTTGGAACACCCTCTTGCAACATCCGCTTGAAATACTAGCAACAACCAGATGAAACACTTGCAACGTCCGCTTTGAAACACCTCAACGCTTGAAGCATGCACTTATTGCTGTTGAAACATGATAGGATTACTATTGAAACATAGGGTGCGTAGCTACACCCCCTAGCACGCCAATATTTCTGATGCATGGTCACATTAGTTCTATTGATTTTTTTCATCAATATTTTAATAATACACTTATTTTTTAACCTATAGGAGCAGATTTAAATTTAAAGTGAAATATAATTTAGAATGGAGGGAGGTAGTATTTTGCTTTGATTCTACGAGTTCTAAGCGTGTGATATGTATAATTTTTTTCAGAATCTCATGCGATCTCGAGAGACATGTTCTCCATAAGCACAAGCCAGAGCTGCTAGGCACCGCAACCTGGAGCAAAGGCGGCACTGGTGGACGTGTGGTTTGAGGTGGAGGCCCACCACCGAGCCCGTTAGCGATCGCCATCGTGGTAGAGTGCATCTTCACGCCTGTTCCTTGGCCGTGAACGCAACCAGAGCCGTTGTCGGCGAGAATGTAGAGAAGCTCAAGAAGGTGCTCGAGGTGTACGAGGCACGACCGAAACAAGTCCAAGTACCTCGCCTTGGCGATTTCCTTAGCCTCGCCGACCTCAGCCACTTCACCATCATGCACTGCTTCATGGCCACCGAGTATGCCGCTCTAGTCGAGGTGCTCCCGCGCGTCGGCGCTTGGTGGAGGGCCTCGCGGCACGCCCCCGTGCCAAGAAGGTGGCGGAGTTCATGCCGGTTGGTACGGCCGGGGCATCCAAGAAACATGAGTGATGTTGAAGCAGAGTGATGTGTGTTGTGCTCAATCACTCTCTCATGTGTAGTACACGGTGCCTCTATAGTTTGTTTTTTTATACTCACTTTTTTCTGCTTTCTCCTCATGAATAATAGATCTTTGGAAATTTAATGTATTTCATCATATTTAGCAAAAAAAAAAAAATTATTTTGGGTTTTAAATCGCTGTGTAGCAGATATCTTCATCTAATTTGGCAGATGGCCGCTACTACACACGTTCAAAGAGGTCGTTTTCGTGATAGCCCCAAGCAACTCTAAAAGTCACCTGCCTTTATTTATATATCTAAAATAAGATGTCACCTGCCAACTACGTCTAGAAATTAATTTATAGGGAAGTTGGAGACGTGACTTATTAATAGAACTTGATTTAAAATAAACAAAAACAATATTATTGCTCCAGCGCCCAGGGGCAGTGACACATACCAATGCAGTGGCTGTTTATTCATTTTAAATTATAATAAAACTCTATGCCTAGAAATTTGTTAGCAGTTACTTCACATAAGTGTATACATCAATAACTTGAGTACAATTTAACTGGAGCATTATGATACATCAATACTGATAGTTTAAATGTAGCAATTTTTTATAAAACGGTACTACTGTGCATATTATTCTTTAATAGAGAAGAAATTTAACATCTTAAGTGTCGTGGAAAGCGGACCTAAAACGATTGTTAATAAAAACCATTGAAATAACTAGAGTACTCTAGTCTAGGACCTAGAATCTAAAAATATAAATGAAAACCTCAAATAAAAATGCACGAGCATTAGAGTTTGAACTTAACAATTGGATGAAAAACTACAACAATTAATAAGATCTGAAAGCCAAATCGGACCCATGATGTCATAAATTGGAGTCAATGAAAGCTGATACAGCTAAAAATACATATTAGAGACCAGTAGAGTTGAAAGCACGCAAATACATCTAGAGTACTGATGAAGTTATGACAACTAGATAGAGATTATATATTTTCAAAATAGGCATTGTAGTAGGGAACGAATAGAGACTAAAGATTTAAATTTTGATTATTTTAACATACTAAAATTAAATACTTACTGTGTAACATAACATTCTAGATTGCATTTGATCTGGCCAACTGATAACGATACATTGACAGTACCAACCTCAGCCATCACTCTCACTGCGCTCCGCTTTGGCAGATAGGCTGCTGTCACTCATTAGAAATTGTTTCTGCAATAATATTTTTCATATGATTAATTATAGATCTGGTCTGTTGGTTATTGAAGGACAGCTACTCAGGTGTGGACATGCTTTGGCTCGCAGATGGAGCAAGGAACGACTGGCTGTATTGTTGTTCCGAGTCTAAATAAGAATAAGGCCGCGTTCGTTTGAAGGGGAATGACCATCAGGAAATATTCTAGCCCGGATTCATTATGTAATTTGAATAAGCTTTAGTCAACAAGAATGGTTCCTGGCCCGGATTCAGTTGAACCGATCGAACGAGCCCTAAAGAATTAGAAGAGAACCGACCAGGCATTCCTGAACCGGAACGCCTTGGTCCACGTACGTCCTGATCACCGCCTCTAGTGCCTCCCGCGTCGACTTCTCGGTCTCGGTAGCCCAGTCCCTATAGCCTCGCGTCGAACGTGTTCCGCTGCGCCACCCGGAACATCTGCGAGCACTCCGTCACGTACCCGGCGGCGACCATGACGTCGGCCATGGCGCGGAGCAGGTCCTCGAGCAGTTCGTGGAACCCTTCAACCTTCATGGCCCAGTGGAGCACGGCGGTGATGCGATATTTCACAGCGGCGGCGTGCTTGCCGCCGCCCTTGGGGCTCTTGTCCGGACCGCCGCGATGCGCGTGATCACGGCGAGCAAATGAAAGCTGATATCATTAATTGGAGTCAATGAAAGCTGATACAACTAAAAGCACATATTAGAACCAGTAGAGATGAAAGCATGCAAATACATATAGAGTATACTGATGAATTTATGACAAGTAGATAGAGGTTATAGATTGTCTAAATAGGCATTTTAGTAGGAAAAATGTATAGAGAGACTAAAGATTTGAATTTTGATTATTTCAACGTACTAAAATAAAAATAATACTTATGTAACGTAACATTCTAGATTGCATTTGACCTAGCCAACTGATAAGTGATAACCATACATTGACCGTACCAACCTCAGCCATCTCAGTGCGCTTGTTCCCTTCTTGGTACTTCTTCTAGTTCTACCACCGCCAGCGCCAGCGTCATCTCTGATCTCCCTTCTCCTCCCCCGCTCGTGTATAAGTAGCAGCCTGCAGCAGGTAGAAGGTGCACATCCATCCATTTCTAGCTGCCGAGCTCTTGGTCTCGCGCGCACTCAAGGAAGGAGAGCCAGAGCTAGTCGTAGCACTCGCGAGAGCAGAGCAGACAGGAAGCCATGGCTACGTCGGCGGTGAAGGTGTACGGGTGGGCTATCTCGCCGTTCGTGTCGCGGGCTCTGCTGGCCCTGGAGGAGGCCGGCGTCGACTACGAGCTCGTCCCCATGAGCCGCCAGGCCGGCGACCACCACCGCCCGGAGCACCTCGCCAGGAACGTACGTGCCTTGCTCCCTCGATCCACCATGAATTTGTTTGTTGGTTTCACTTTCGCTCCGCTCATCGGCCATCCCTCGCTTCGCTGACGCTGACTGACACGCGCTCCTGTGCTTAATTGCTGCAGCCTTTCGGGAAGGTGCCGGTGCTCGAGGACGGCGACCTCACGCTCTTCGGTAAGTTCATCATCATCCATCGGACGTGTCGTAGAAAATATATTTCATGATTAATCTAGTAATATTCACATAATAGTATTAATTTATATATATATTTAGTCGAATTTAAGATTATTTAACTCTTCTTCTACGATTATTGAAATCTTTGAGATGTGAGGTGTACATTTTTAGACGGCACGGAGTAATTCACAGTTTTATCCTAAGTCAACATTTTCAACTTTAAGTAAGTTTATAAAAAAAAATATGCCAACATTTGCAACATCCGCTTGGAACATCCTCTTGCAACATCCACTTGAAGCACATGAAAACGCTTGAAACATGCGGATGAAACACCCGCAACTTTGGCTTGGAACACCCTCTTGCAACATCCGCTTGAAATACTAGCAACATCCAGATGAAACACTTGCAACGTCCGCTTTAAAACACCTTTGAAACACCTCAACGCTTGAAGCATGCACTTATTGCTGTTGAAACATTATAGGATTACTATTGAAACATAGGGTGCGAGTACGCCAATATTTCTGATGCATGGTCACATTAGTTTTATTGATTTTTTTCATCAACATTTTAATAATGCACTTATTTTTTAACCTATAGGAGCAGATTTAAATTTAAAGTGAAATACAATTTAGAATGGAGGGGAGGTAGTATTTTGCTTTGATTCTACGAGTTCTAAGCGTGTGATATGTATATTTTTTTTTTCAGAATCTCATGCGATCGCGAGACATGTTCTCCGCAAGCACAAGCCGAGCTGCTAGGCACCGCAACCTGGAGCAAAGCGGCACTGGTGGACGTGTGGTTTGAGGTGGAGGCCCACCAGCTGAGCCCGTTAGCGATCGCCATCGTGGTAGAGTGCATCTTCACGCCGTTCCTTGGCCGCTGAACGCAACCAGGCCGTCGTCGGCGAGAATGTAGAGAAGCTCAAGAAGGTGCTCGAGGTGTACGAGGCACGGCCCGAGCAAGTCCAAGTACCTCGCCGGCGATTTCCTTAGCGTCGCCGACCTCAGCCACTTCACCATCATGCACTGCTTCATGGCCACCGAGTATGCCGCTCTAGTCGATGCGCTCCCCGCGTCGTCGGCCTGGTGGAGGAGGGCTCTCGCCAAGCGCCCGCGCCAAGAAGGTGGCGGAGTTCATGCCGGTTGGTACGGCCGGGGCATCCAAGAAACATGACTGATGTTGAAGCAGAGTGATGTGTGTTGTGCTCAATTACTCTCTCATGTGTAGTGCACGGTGCCTCTATAGTTTGTTTTCTTATACTCACTTTTTCTGCTTTCTCCTCATGAATAATAGATCTTTGGAAATTTAATGTATTTCATCATATTTAGCAAAAAAAATATTCTTTTGGATTTTAAATCGCTGTGTAGCAGATATCTTCATCGAATTTGGCAGATGGCCGCTACTACACACGGTCAAAGAGGTCGTTTTCGCGACAGCCCCAAGCAACTCTAAAAGTCACCTGCCTTTATTTATATATCTAAAAATAAGATGTCACCTGCCAACTACGTCTAGAAATTAATTTATAGGGGAAGTTGGAGACGTGACTTATTAATAGAACTTGATTTAAAATAAACAAAAAACAATATTATTGCTCCAGCGCCCAGGGGCAGTGACACATACCAATGCAGTGGCTGTTTATTCATTTTAAATTATAATAAAACTCTATGCCTAGAAATTTGTTAGCAGTTACTTCACATAAGTGTATACATCAATAACTTGAGTACAATTTAACTGGAGCATTATGATACATCAATACTGATAGTTTAAATGTAGCAATTTTTTTATAAAACGGTACTACTGTGCATATTATTCTTTAATAGAGAAGAAATTTAACATCTTAAGTGTCGTGGTGCGGACCTAAAACGATTGTTAATAAAAACCATTGAAATAACTAGAGTACTCTAGTCTAGGACCTAGAATCTAAAAATATAAATGAAAACCTCAAATAAAAATGCACGAGCATTAGAGTTTGAACTTAACAATTGGATGAAAAACTACAACAATTAATAAGATCTGAAAGCCAAATCGGACCCATGATGTCATAAATTGGGAGTCAATGAAAGCTGATACAGCTAAAAATACATATTAGAGACCAGTAGAGTTGAAAGCACGCAAATACATCTAGAGTACTGATGAAGTTATGACAACTAGATAGAGATTATATATTTTCAAAATAGGCATTGTAGTAGGGAACGAATAGAGACTAAAGATTTAAATTTTGATTATTTTAACATACTAAAATTAAATACTTACTGTGTAACATAACATTCTAGATTGCATTTGATCTGGCCAACTGATAACGATACATTGACAGTACCAACCTCAGCCATCACTCTCACTGCGCTCCGCTTTGGCAGATAGGCTGCTGTCACTCATTAGAAGTTGTTTCTGCAATAATATTTTTCATATGATTAATTATAGATCTGGTCTGTTGGTTATTGAAGGACAGCTACTCAGGTGTGGACATGCTTTGGCTCGCAGATGGAGCAAGGAACGACTGGCTGTATTGTTGTTCCGAGTCTAAATAAGAATAAGGCCGCGTTCGTTTGAAGGGGAATGACCATCGGGAAATATTCTAGCCCGGATTCATTATGTAATTTGAATAAGCTTTAGTCAACAAGAATGGTTCCTGGCCCGGATTCAGTTGAACCGATCGAACGAGCCCTAAAGAATTAGAAGAGAACCGACCAGGCATTCCTGAACCGGAACGCCTTGGTCCACGTACGTCCTGATCACCGCCTCTAGTGCCTCCCGCGTCGACTTCTCGGTCTCGGTAGCCCAGTCCCTATAGCCTCGCGTCGAACGTGTTCCGCTGCGCCACCTGGAACATCTGCGAGCACTCCGTCACGTACCCGGCGGCGACCATGACGTCGGCCATGGCGCGGAGCAGGTCCTCGAGCAGTTCGTGGAACCCTTCAACCTTCATGGCCCAGTGGAGCACGGCGGTGATGCGATATTTCACAGCGGCGGCGTGCTTGCCGCCGCCCTTGGGGCTCTTGTCCGGACCGCCGCGATGCGCGTGATCACGGCGAGCAAATGAAAGCTGATATCATAAATTGGAGTCAATGAAAGCTGATACAACTAAAAGCACATATTAGAACCAGTAGAGATGAAAGCATGCAAATACATATAGAGTATACTGATGAATTTATGACAAGTAGATAGAGGTTATAGATTGTCTAAATAGGCATTTTAGTAGGAAAAATGTATAGAGAGACTAAAGATTTGAATTTTGATTATTTCAACGTACTAAAATAAAAATAATACTTATGTAACGTAACATTCTAGATTGCATTTGACCTAGCCAACTGATAAGTGATAACCATACATTGACCGTACCAACCTCAGCCATCTCAGTGCGCTTGTTCCCTTCTTGGTACTTCTTCTAGTTCTACCACCGCCAGCGCCAGCGTCATCTCTGATCTCCCTCTCCTCCCCGCTCGTGTATAAGTAGCAGCCTGCAGCAGGTAGAAGGTGCACATCCATCCATTTCTAGCTGCCGAGCTCTTGGTCTCGCGCGCGCACTCAAGGAAGGAGAGCCAGAGCTAGTCGTAGCACTCGCGAGAGCAGAGCAGACAGGAAGCCATGGCTACGTCGGCGGTGAAGGTGTACGGGTGGGCTATCTCGCCGTTCGTGTCGCGGGCTCTGCTGGCCCTGGAGGAGGCCGGCGTCGACTACGAGCTCGTCCCCATGAGCCGCCAGGCCGGCGACCACCACCGCCCGGAGCACCTCGCCAGGAACGTACGTGCCTTGCTCCCTCGATCCACCATGAATTTGTTTGTTGGTTTCACTTTCGCTCCGCTCATCGGCCATCCCTCGCTTCGCTGACGCTGACTGACACGCGCTCCTGTGCTTAATTGCTGCAGCCTTTCGGGAAGGTGCCGGTGCTCGAGGACGGCGACCTCACGCTCTTCGGTAAGTTCATCATCATCCATCGGACGTGTCGTAGAAAATATATTTCATGATTAATCTAGTAATATTCACATAATAGTATTAATTTATATATATATTTAGTCGAATTTAAGATTATTTAACTCTTCTTCTACGATTATTGAAATCTTTGAGATGTGAGGTGTACATTTTTAGACGGCACGGAGTAATTCACAGTTTTATCCTAAGTCAACATTTTCAACTTTAAGTAAGTTTATAAAAAAAAATATGCCAACATTTGCAACATCCGCTTGGAACATCCTCTTGCAACATCCACTTGAAGCACATGAAAACGCTTGAAACATGCGGATGAAACACCCGCAACTTTGGCTTGGAACACCCTCTTGCAACATCCGCTTGAAATACTAGCAACATCCAGATGAAACACTTGCAACGTCCGCTTTAAAACACCTTTGAAACACCTCAACGCTTGAAGCATGCACTTATTGCTGTTGAAACATGATAGGATTACTATTGAAACATAGGGTGCGTAGCACGCCAATATTTCTGATGCATGGTCACATTAGTTTTATTGATTTTTTTCATCAACATTTTAATAATGCACTTATTTTTTAACCTATAGGAGCAGATTTAAATTTAAAGTGAAATACAATTTAGAATGGAGGGGAGGTAGTATTTTGCTTTGATTCTACGAGTTCTAAGCGTGTGATATGTATATTTTTTTTTTCAGAATCTCATGCGATCGCGAGACATGTTCTCCGCAAGCACAAGCCAGAGCTGCTAGGCACCGGCAACCTGGAGCAGGCGGCACTGGTGGACGTGTGGTTTGAGGTGGAGGCCCACCAGCTGAGCCCGTTGGCGATCGCCATCGTGGTAGAGTGCATCTTCACGCCGTTCCTTGGCCGCGAACGCAACCAGGCCGTCGTCGACGAGAATGTAGAGAAGCTCAAGAAGGTGCTCGAGGTGTACGAGGCACGACTGAGCAAGTCCAAGTACCTCGCCGGCGATTTCCTTAGCGTCGCCGACCTCAGCCACTTCACCATCATGCACTGCTTCATGGCCACCGAGTATGCCGCTCTAGTCGATGCGCTCCCGCACGTCAGCGCCTGGTGGGAGGGCCTCGCCGCACGCCCGGCGGCCAAGAAGGTGGCGGAGTTCATGCCGGTTGGTACGGCCGGGGCATCCAAGAAACATGACTGATGTTGAAGCAGAGTGATGTGTGTTGTGCTCAATTACTCATGTGTAGTGCACGGTGCCTCTATAGTTTGTTTTCTTATACTCACTTTTTCTGCTTTCTCCTCATGAATAATAGATCTTTGGAAATTTAATGTATTTCATCATATTTAGCAAAAAAAATATTCTTTTGGATTTTAAATCGCTGTGTAGCAGATATCTTCATCGAATTTGGCAGATGGCCGCTACTACACACGGTCAAAGAGGTCGTTTTCGCGACAGCCCCAAGCAACTCTAAAAGTCACCTGCCTTTATTTATATATCTAAAAATAAGATGTCACCTGCCAACTACGTCTAGAAATTAATTTATAGGGGTAGTTGGAGACCTGACTTATTAATAGAACTTGATTTAAAAAAAAAACAAAAAACAATATTGTTGCTCCAGCGCCCAAGGGCAGAGACACATACCAATGCAGTGGCTGTTTATTCATTTTAAATTATAATAAAACTCTATGCCTAGAAATTTGTTAGCGGTTACTTCACATAAGTGTATACATCAATAACTAGAGTACAATTTAACTGAAGCATTATGATACATCAATACTGATAGTTTAAATGTAGCAATTTTTTTATAAAACGGTACTACTGTGCATATTATTCTTTAATAGAGAAGAAATTTAACATCTTAAGTGTCGTGGTGCGGACCTAAAACGATTGTTAATAAAAACCATTGAAATAACTAGAGTACTCTAGTCTAGGACCTAGAATCTAAAAATATAAATGAAAACCTCAAATAAAAATGCACGAGCATTAGAGTTTGAACTTAACAATTGGATGAAAAACTACAACAATTAATAAGATCTGAAAGCCAAATCGGACCCATGATGTCATAAATTGGAGTCAATGAAAGCTGATACAGCTAAAAATACATATTAGAGACCAGTAGAGTTGAAAGCACGCAAATACATCTAGAGTACTGATGAAGTTATGACATCTAGATAGAGATTATATATTTTCAAAATAGGCATTGTAGTAGGGAATGAATAGAGACTAAAGATTTAAATTTTGATTATTTTAACATACTAAAATTAAATACTTACTATGTAACATAACATTCTAGATTGCATTTGATCTGGCCAACTGATAACGATACATTGACAGTACCAACCTCAGCCATCACTCTCACTGCGCTCCGCTTTGGCAGATAGGCTGCTGTCACTCATTAGAAGTTGTTTCTGAAATAATATTTTTCATATGATTAATTATAGATCTGGTCTGTTGGTTATTGAAGGACAGCTACTCAGGTGTGGACATGCTTTGGCTCGCAGATGGAGCAAGGAACGACTGGCTGTATTGTTGTTCCGAGTCTAAATAAGAATAAGGCCGCGTTCGTTTGAAGGGGAATGACCATCGGGAAATATTCTAGCCCGGATTCATTATGTAATTTGAATAAGCTTTAGTCAACAAGAATGGTTCCTGGCCCGGATTCAGTTGAACCGATCGAACGAGCCCTACAGAATTAGAAGAGAACCGACCAGGCATTCCTGAACCGGAACGCCTTGGTCCACGTACGTCCTGATCACCGCCTCTAGTGCCTCCCACGTCGACTTCTCGGTCTCGGTAGCCCAGTCCCTATAGCCTCGCGTCGAACGTGTTCCGCTGCGCCACCTGGAACATCTGCGAGCACTCCGTCACGTACCCGGCGGCGACCATGACGTCGGCCATGGCGCGGAGCAGGTCCTCGAGCAGTTCGTGGAACCCTTCAACCTTCATGGCCCAGTGGAGCACGGCGGTGATGCGATATTTCACAGCGGCGGCGTGCTTGCCGCCGCCCTTGGGGCTCTTGTCCGGACCGCCGCGATGCGCGTGATCACGGCGAGCAAATGAAAGCTGATATCATAAATTGGAGTCAATGAAAGCTGATACAACTAAAAGCACATATTAGAACCAGTAGAGATGAAAGCATGCAAATACATATAGAGTATACTGATGAATTTATGACAAGTAGATAGAGATTATAGATTGTCTAAATAGGCATTTTAGTAGGAAAAATGTATAGAGAGACTAAAGATTTGAATTTTGATTATTTCAACGTACTAAAATAAAAATAATACTTATGTAACGTAACATTCTAGATTGCATTTGACCTAGCCAACTGATAAGTGATAACCATACGTTGACCGTACCAACCTCAGCCATCTCAGTGCGCTTGTTCCCTTCTTGGTACTTCTTCTAGTTCTAGCACCGCCAGCGCCAGCGTCATCTCTGATCTCCCTTCTCCTCCCCCGCTCGTGTATAAGTAGCAGCCTGCAGCAGGTAGAAGGTGCACATCCATCCATTTCTAGCTGCCGAGCTCTTGGTCTCGCGCGCACTCAAGGAAGGAGAGCCAGAGCTAGTCGTAGCACTCGCGAGAGCAGAGCAGACAGGAAGCCATGGCTACGTCGGCGGTGAAGGTGTACGGGTGGGCTATCTCGCCGTTCGTGTCGCGGGCTCTGCTGGCCCTGGAGGAGGCCGGCGTCGACTACGAGCTCGTCCCCATGAGCCGCCAGGCCGGCGACCACCACCGCCCGGAGCACCTCGCCAGGAACGTACGTGCCTTGCTCCCTCGATCCACCATGAATTTGTTTGTTGGTTTCACTTTCGCTCCGCTCATCGGCCATCCCTCGCTTCGCTGACGCTGACTGACACGCGCTCCTGTGCTTAATTGCTGCAGCCTTTCGGGAAGGTGCCGGTGCTCGAGGACGGCGACCTCACGCTCTTCGGTAAGTTCATCATCATCCATCGGACGTGTCGTAGAAAATATATTTCATGATTAATCTAGTAATATTCACATAATAGTATTAATTTATATATATATTTAGTCGAATTTAAGATTATTTAACTCTTCTTCTACGATTATTGAAATCTTTGAGATGTGAGGTGTACATTTTTAGACGGCACGGAGTAATTCATAGTTTTATCCTAAGTCAAGCTTTTTAACTTTAAGTAAGTTTATAAAAAAAATATGCCAACATTTGCAACATCCGCTTGGAACATCCTCTTGCAACATCCACTTGAAGCACCTGAAAACGCTTGAAACATGCAGATGAAACACCCGCAACATTGGCTTGGAACACCCTCTTGCGACATCCGCTTGAAATACTAGCAACATCCAGATGAAACACTTGCAACGTCCGCTTTAAAACACCTTTGAAACACCTCAACGCTTGAAGCATGCACTTATTGCTGTTGAAACATGATAGGATTACTATTGAAACATAGGGTGCGTAGCTACACCCCTAGCACGCCAATATTTCTGATGCATGGTCACATTAGTTTTATTGATTTTTTTCATCAACATTTTAATAATGCACTTATTTTTTAACCTATAGGAGCAGATTTAAATTTAAAGTGAAATACAATTTAGAATGGAGGGGAGGTAGTATTTTGCTTTGATTCTACGAGTTCTAAGCGTGTGATATGTATATTTTTTTCAGAATCTCATGCGATCGCGAGACATGTTCTCCGCAAGCACAAGCCAGAGCTGCTAGGCACCGCAACCTGGAGCAGCGGCACTTTGGTGGACGTGTGGTTTGAGGTGGAGGCCCACCACCGAGCCCGCTGGCGATCGCCATCGTGGTAGAGTGCATCTTCACGCCGTTCCTTGGCCGCGAACGCAACCAGGCCGTCGTCGACGAGAATGTAGAGAAGCTCAAGAAGGTGCTCGAGGTGTACGAGGCACGACTGAGCAAGTCCAAGTACCTCGCCGGCGATTTCCTTAGCCTCGCCGACCTCAGCCACTTCACCATCATGCACTGCTTCATGGCCACCGAGTATGCCGCTCTAGTCGAGGCGCTCCCGCACGTCAGCGCCTGGTGGGAGGGCCTCGCGGCACGCCCGGCGGCCAAGAAGGTGGCGGAGTTCATGCCGGTTGGTACGGCCGGGGCATCCAAGAAACATGAGTGATGTTGAGGCAGGGTGATGTGTGTTGTGCTCAATTACTCTCTCATGTGTAGTACACGGTGCCTCTATAGTTTGTTTTCTTAAAACTCACTTTTTTCTGCTTTCTCCTCATGAATAATAGATCTTTGGAAATTTAATGTATTTCATCATATTTAGCAAAAAAAATATTCTTTTGGATTTTAAATCGCTGTGTAGCAGATATCTTCATCGAATCTGGCAGATGGCCACTACTACACACGGTCAAAGAGGTCGTTTTCGCGGCAGCCCCAAGCAACTCTAAAAGTCACCTGCCTTTATTTATATATCTAAAAATAAGATATCACCTGCCAACTACGTCTAGAAATTAATTTATAGGGGTAGTTGGAGACCTGACTTATTAATAGAACTTGATTTAAAAAAAACAAAAAACAATATTATTGCTCCAGCGCCCAAGGGCAGTGACACATACCAATGCAGTGGCTGTTTATTCATTTTAAATTATAATAAAACTCTATGCCTAGAAATTTGTTAGCGGTTACTTCATATAAGTGTATACATCAATAACTAGAGTACAATTTAACTGGAGCATTATATATGATACATCAATACTGATAGTTTAAATGTAGCAATTTTTTATAAAACAGTACTACTGTGCATATTATTCTTTAATAGAAGAAATTTAACATCTTAAGTGTCGTGGTGCGGACCTGAAACGATTGTTAATAAAAACCATTGAAATAACTAGAGTACTCTAGTCTAGGACCTAGAATCTAAAAATATAAATGAAAAACTCAAATAAAAATCAACGAGCATTAGAGTTTGAACTTAACAATTGGATGAAAAACTACAACAATTAATAAGATCTGAAAGCCAAATCGGACCCATGATGTCATAAATTGGAGTCAATGAAAGCTGATACAACTAAAAATACATATTAGAGACCAGTAGAGTTGAAAGCACGCAAATACATCTAGAGTACTGATGAAGTTATGACAACTAGATAGAGATTATATATTTTCAAAATAGGCATTGTAGTAGGAAATGAATAGAGAGACTAAAGATTTAAATTTTGATTATTTTAACATACTAAAATTAATACTTACTATGTAACATAACATTCTAGATTGCATTTGACCTGGCCAACTGATAACGATACGTTGACAGTACCAACCTCAGCCATCACTCGATCTCACTGCGCTCCGCTTTGGCAGATAGGCTGCTGTCACTCATTAGAAATTGTTTCAGAAATAATATTTTTAATATGATTAATTATAGATCTGGGCTGTTGGTTATTGTAGGACAGCTACTCAGGTGTGGACATGCTTTGGCTCGCAGATGGAGCAAGGAACGACTGGCTGTATTGTCATTCCGAGTCTAAATAAGAATAAGGCCGTGTTCGTTTGAAGGGGAATGACCGTCAGGAAATATTCCAGGCCGGATTCATCATGTAATTTGAATAAGCTTTAGTCAACAAGAATGGTTCCGGTCCCGGATTTAGTTGAACCGATCGAACGAGCCCTAAAAAATTAGAAGAGAACTGACCAGGCATTCCTGAACCGGAATGCCTTGGTCCACGTACGTCACGATCACCGCCTCTAGTGCCTCCCACATCGACTTCTCGGTCTCGGTAGCCCAGCCCCTGTAGCCTCGCGTCGAACGCGTTCCGCTGCGCCACCAGGAACATCTGCGAGCACTCCGTCACGTACCCGGCGGCGACCATGACGTGGGCCATGGCGCGGAGCAGGTCCTCGAGCAGTTCGTGGAACCCTTCAACCTTCATGGCCCAGTGGAGCACGGCGGTGATGCGATATTTCACAGCGGCAGCGTGCTTGCCGCCGCCCTTGGGGCTCTTGTCCGGAGCGCCGCGATGCGCGTGATCACGGCGAGCAAATGAAAGCTGATATCATAAATTGGAGTCAATGAAAGCTGATACAACTAAAAGCACATATTATAACCAGTAGAGATGAAAGCATGCAAATACATATAGAGTATACTGATGAATTTATGACAAGTAGATAGAGATTATAGATTGTCTAAATAAGCATTTTAGTAGGAAAATGTACAGAGAGACTAAAGATTTGAATTTTGATTATTTCAACGTACTAAAATAAAAATAATACTTATGTAACGTAACATTCTAGATTGCATTTGACCTAGCCAACTGATAAGTGATAACCATACGTTGACCGTACCAACCTCAGCCATCTCAGTGCGCTTGTTCCCTTCTTGGTACTTCTAGATTGATTTTCTGCCTGCTGCTTTCCACTTTGGCAGATAGACTGTTGCTCACTAGGAGTTGTTTGTGATATATTGTTTTTCATTATTGAATGTATTATATTAGCGCAAAAAAAATTCTTAATTGAATTTATTGTTGTGTTAAATTTTTTTTAAAAAATATAGACAAATAAATTTATTGCCTCAACAACTATGTTTACTTCCCAGTTTTGATAATTTAAATCCCCAAGATATTTCAGTAAATTAGAGGACAGTTAAATGTGACCTTTGGAATATTTTTGTTGAGAACGTTTAAGTCTTTGAGCTATTAGTTTAATTCCCAACAATGTTTAATTCACAAGATAATGTAATTGTTCTGATTTCTAAGCAAGACACAATGCATGAAGGTTTTAGTTCCAAACATTGCAGATATAAGCGCAATTGTTAGGATAAAACATCAGATCAGCTAGCCTATGCAGCGACGCACAGGTTTAAGCTTTTGGACGAGTATGCTGATCATGGGTCGTCCTGGGGCAGCAGCTCGTGCGTGCGAGCGGCCGCCATGAAGCAGCACTCGTACACGAGCACGGCGAGCGGGCCGACCCAGTACACCCAGTGATGCGTCCAGACGCCCGTGGCGACGGCGGGCCCGAACGACCTCGCCGGGTTCATGGACGCGCCGGACAGGACGGCACCGGAGACGGAGTTGGGGCCCCAGGCCGGTGAGCAGCGGACCGGCGCCCGGGAGCAGCTTCCGCGGGTCAAGGATGGTGGCGTAGATGACGAGGAGGAGGCTGAAGGTGAAGACGGTCTCCGCCACCACGCCCTCCGCCAGCGCGTGCACCGGGGTGCCCAGCCCGCCGGTGAGCCACCTGAGCAGGAAGCACGCCGGGGCGGCGATGTACAGGGAGGAACGGAACAGCGTGATGTGGCCGCCGACGGCCAGCGACAGCGTCACGGCCGGGTTGACGTGGCCGCCGGAGATGTGGAACCCCGCCGTCGCGATCACTGACACCACCAGCGCCACCGCCGTCAGGTCGCCTCCGGCGTTGCCACCCTTCGTCGTCCCTCCTGTATCACACGCATGATGCACGTACGTATGGATTGGACCATCCAGCAACTAATGCACGGCGGTAAACTGGTAATTAAAGCACATGCATGCATGCATGCAGCGGATCCATGAGTTGCTCTGCACGTGTACAGTTCTTCCGATCGGCGATTGATTTTGTCGACGTCGGTAGTTTTGCATGTGCATCATGCATGCAATTAAAACCGGCGATCCATTCTCAGACAAAACACACTTATACCTGGGGTAGTACGATGGCAATGCGGCACTAGTACATATGGGGGCCAACCGGCCAAGTTTGGGTGCTATCACATCCACGTGTTTCATCTAAATATGTTTTTAGAGCTTGTTCGGATGCACTTGAGCGACGTCAATCCACTTCAAATTGAGGTAGTGTCGGGTATCGATATGAGGGATACCTAAAGTAAGGAAGTTAGCGTCAACGCTGACTTCTCCGGATGACTCAAGACGTATTAAAATATCTCACCCGATCCCAAGGGAAGGCTAGGCTAGCTGCACGTACGGTAAATAAACGAAAATTACACCTCGATCGCTTAATAATTTGCCACTGTAACTGAGAGTAACTTGTGCAGCAGGTACGCACGGCGCCAGCATGTGGCGCAACAGTAACACGCTACCTACTTAATTAGCCCGGCCGACCGGTTTTACCTTTTGCAAACTAGTGTCAAGCACACATCTCTTTTCCATCAGTTTCCATGCATTGCATTGTTTGGAACCGACCCGGCCGGGCAACCCAGATCCGTATATATATCTGCATGTATCGTTGAGTTGCATTGGGTATATAGAGGAACAAACACTTTTGCCTTTTGGGGGTCACGCCATGTTGACCTCCGATCCGGTCCACTATAGTCGCTACTGTCAACAGTGGGTCACTACCACAGAATTAATTTGTAGCAACATGCCTTTTTTTTTGTAGGGATGGCTCCATCAACAGCCGCCCCTACAGTGGTCGTGCCCGGGACCCGCTGGGCCAGCCGCCCCTACAAATCGAACAGTAGGGGCGGAATTTGTAGGGGCGGCTGGTGAATGAGCTGCCCCTACAAAGCCCTAGTACAAAGGCCCGTCGTCCCCCTTCTTCCTCCTCGGGCCAATTACTGTAGCTGAGAGAGGAAGGAAGGGGGCCTTGGGCACCTCCCAAAAATTGCTCTTTCAAAGGGGAAGGTTTTGATCTCATTTTCTTTGGTGGAGAGGTTGTAGAATGTAAGAAAATGCTATTCCAAACATTTTTTGGAAGTTTTAATGGTTGGTTAGTGAGTTATTAGGGTTTTGCTTTTCTCTCTCTCTATGGTGCTTAAGCCATTTATGAAGCAAATTAGACCAAAGTATTGAAGGTTCTAGGGTGAATTAGTTAGTGGAATAAGATTACACCCTTATTTAGTAGGTCTTGCTTGATTTCAGTGGTTTATTAGTTAGTTTAATGGATGTGTCATGTAGATCTAGACCTAGAGCTAGGGTTTGATTTTTTTATTATTAATTACATTTTTGTATGAAGGATAGTGTGTAAAATATTAATTGTTGCTAATTATTGTCTTTGAAATTGTTTGTTATTGTAACAAAGATATTAAATTAGAGAATTAAATATCTATATTTTTAGTTAGGTCATTAATTGTTCTCTAGAATGGTTTTTCAGGAAACTACTAGGTATATATCTGTGAACATTTAGTAGGGCTCTTTTCTGGCTCCAGCTCCAGCTCAATCCTGCGGAGGAGCCCTGTCAAACGATTTAGTACGAAGAGTCATTTGGAGCCGGTTTTCAATAAAAAAAAAGAGTAGCCGGAGCCGTTTTAGAGGAAGGCTCCTCCAGAACAGCTCCCACTCCTCCGAACGAGCCCTACTAAACAAGGCCTAAACATACCCCGTGCAAATAGTGAATATAAACATATAGAAAAAGATATAGCTAGCAAGTACAAGAATATATAATGATTTCTTGGAATACATATAGTTGTATAGGCGTATAGCTATCAACAATTTGGAACAAAGTTTTGTGCCGCACAAACATATTTATGTATAGTATTATTAATATTCATAGAAATCCAGACCGGGTCAGAAATGTCAGACCATACATTTCTGAACAGTGGGTTTTGCTTGTTGCTGCTGCAGATATCCTAGTCGGGAAAGCCGTGTACATTCCCAAGCGGAGGTGTGTATTTTTTACATGTATCCTCTCGGTTCTTTTTTACATTTCGTAGTAGATTAGTCATAAATCAAATACTTGTATCTTTAACTATCAACCTTTAAAAAATGATGTCATTTCACGACAAATAAATTATATATATTATGAAAGTATTTGTCATAATTAGTATGCATATTTTTTTTGAAATTGATGATCAAAATTAGAAATGTTTGAATTACTATAAAACTAATAACATGTAAACAGACGGAGTACGTACTTGTACCTTGTAGTACGTGATAGAGACGTGTTTAAATAGATTCTTTGAGTGTAGGCTCGGCAGGTAACGCGGAGGTGTACCTAGGTAGCCCACTGTATAAATCATAGTACGCAGTAAGTAAATAAATAAATGGAATTAAAGGGCGAGATGGATGAAGCTAAACAACAGTCAACGGCTCGTGGTTTGAGCTTCGGTTTTTCACTGCTCTGCTCTTCTTCACTGTCGTGTAGTACGGAGCAAGCGAGAGTGATGGCTTGCATGCATCCATGTGCTGCAGCAGCAGCCTGCACTGCGTGTGGATAGGCCTATCAGCCTCGGGTAGCTGACAGCCGACAGACGCCGCCGATACGTGCGAGCCAGCCCACTGCAGGAACTTGTCGGCTCCTGGAAAGCCGACAGGTATACGTAGCTGTCCGCTGATAGCCGATAGGTATATCGGTCAGCCGAGAGCCGACATATCCCGCCGTAACGCACGAGCCAGCGGGGGCGGGAGGTGGCGGAGCCCGCGCGCCTGAGCATGTCGTCGGCGGTGCCCGGGATCGGGGTGGAGGTGCCGCTGCCGCCCATGCAGCAGAAGCAGGCTGCCGGCAGCTGCTCCCCGTGGGTGCAGTCGCCGCTGCACTGCCGGCTCCGGTTCCCTCCCTCGCCCGCCGCCATATCTACGGCGCTGCACCGGCTGGAGGGCGACGTGCACGCGCTGGCCGTGGCGCGGGGCGTGCTGTTCACGGTGTCCGACAGCGGTCGCGTCCGCGCGTGGGTGGCGCCCGGTTGCTTCAACCGCGGCTACCTCGACGTCGGCCGCGGCCGCGTCTCGGCGCTGGCGGCCTGCGGGGGCACGCTCGTCACGTCCCACGCCCGCGACCACCGCGTCCGTGTCTGGACCGTCCGCGCCGCCGCCGTGTGCGACCACGTCCGCGCCAAGAAGGCGGCCACGCTCCCCGCCAAGTCGTCGCTCCTCCTCCAGAACCCGTTCGGCAAGCGGCGGCAAGCTTTATTACAGCAGCAAAATGATTAAAAGAAAGCTCTGCGGTGGTGTCGTCTACGATTTGAACTTTTTCTCAAAATAAAAGACAGCATGATGTGTGGGACCAAAGCAACACGTGGACCAAGACAATAAAATTAAATAGTATTAAATTGTGGCAAAATAATAAAGGAAAAAGAAAAACCATACCTCTGGATGGATTCCAGAAGCCTCTCAGCCACTCACGCGAACACTCTTTGCCGCAGCTGCACCTGTGCCAGACTGCCAGTGATGTCAGCTGCACCTTTTCAGGGCCGAATGGTAATTTCCCAGCTACAGTAATTTCTACATTTAAATTTTAAAAATACTTTTATTTTTGGATGGAGAGAGTATACGTGATCGAGCAAATATCTGGCCCTGTTCGCTTCTCTTCTAATCTGTACTTTTCGGCTTATTTCTTTAGCCGAAACAGGGTTTTCCCCTCACAATAAATCAGCTAAAACAGTATTTCGGTTTGTTTTTTCAGCGAAGCCAATGGAGCCTCTATCATGGTGGCAGCGGGCACACGTCATATTTGCATTAATCTCCTGCATGCTGTGGGGCCTGACCGCCTGAGCAGTGCAAGGAAATGCGCAGTTCGTTGTCGATGCATGTAACTGCTGCACGCGCATGTTTTTCTTAGACAAATTTTACGGGAGGTGCTTAAAAACAAATAACAGTCATCCATTCGGATAAATCTAACAGTTATAAAATAGGAACTACTTCCAAATTTAATTCCAATGTAATATCTCCGTTTAAATTATAGATCGCTTTGACTTTTCTGGTTCATCCATTTTACTATGTATCTAGACATATTATATAGCAAAATAGATGTATCAAAAAAATTTAAATCGATTTATAATTTGGAACGGAGAGAGTATAATGGTACTTTCACATCGCGTATTCCCCAACCCACTCAAGCCAGTGATTCTAGTTAAGGAAGAGTCTTGTCGTTGGCATGCTAGAGCAAAGACAAAGATTCAGTGTTCTGGTTATTTGAGCATCAGCACCACAGCGACGCCTTTTTGTGTGGATTGTGTAGAATGCTTTTGCATCGATTAGCATTCTTGACCATGCTCTATGGGTCACATTTCTCTCCTGTTAGCTCCTACTGCAGTGCCGTTAAAATGTTTGTTTTTGATAGGGCAGCAAAAACTTTACCACAATTTTTATTATAAGGAGAAATAGAAAAAAAAAATACTAGCACGAGTTTTTGAGTGGAAACCAAGCTAAAAAGTACCCCTAAAATGTGGTTGAGAAGTGTTTCTAAGGACAGTAACCATATATGCTAAAATATGGCTGAACTACATGTTAACGTGTCATATTTTCACATTTTAACTACTCCCTCCATTCTCTTTTTATAAGACACAGGTTAACATGACACGGTCTTCCAAATTACACTTTGATCATCTATTTATTTTTATTTTATATTATTTATACTTATAAATTTATGATAATTAGATAGTAGAATATTTAATTACAAATCTAACTATATCAAGTTTCTGTTATAATAATTTAAAATTATTAGTTAAATTATTGGTCAAACATTTTAAAGTTTGGATCTCGATATGTGTGTGCCCTTATAAAAAATAATGGAGGTAGTAAAACATATTTGCTCTATGTGTCCATTTTAGCTAGCTAAAACAAAAAAAAGTGCTCATGTCACTAGTAGAGAACAGACCTTTGATCCTTGGTCAAAATGGGCTCTAGTCCTGGAATTTTTTGCGCCCGGGACTAGAGATACCTTTAGTCCCGGTTGGTGGCTCCAACCGGGACTAAAGGTCCTCGCCCAACTCTATCTGCGCCAGAGGAGGTGGCAGGGACCTTTAGTCCCGTTGGAGCCACCAACCGGACTAAAGCTACTTTTTACTCCCGGTTGGTGGCTCCAACCAGGAGTAAAGGTCTACTCCCGGGCCGTGGCTGCGTCCGGGGTTGGAAAGTTACCTTTAGTCCCGGTTGGAGCCACCAACCGGGACTAAAGGTCCCCCCTTTATATCCCGGTCGTCTCCTTCTTCCTCCCCGAGCCCGAGCTCAGCACATTTTGAAGCTCACTGCACTAGTGTTCTTCCTTCCTCCCTCCCTCCATTGTTCCTCCATCTATTCTTCGATTCCTCCGTCGATTTCTTCGATTCCTCCATCGATTCTTCAGTTGTAAAGGTTACCAATCTCATACTCTAATTTTCACCATTGTCTTATCTCATTTTGTTCACTATATATATATGGTTCTTTATTGTGGTTTTTTTTCATTTGTAAGCAATTTAAGCTCAAAATCACTTCAAGCTTGCATATTTACATGAAAGAAGGTTAAAGTAGCTAGTTGAACTTGCGGACCGTGTTCATCTCGGCGACCATGTTCTCTGCCGAGCGGTAACGGACGTCAAGGAGGAGCTTTGATTCTACGAGGGAGAGCGGCAACAGTCGTGGAAGACCGTGTTCCCTTCCTCGTAGAATTGGAGCTCTTCCGTGGCCAAGTACGGTGCCGTCCGGTGGAGAAATGCTCACCGAGATGATCACGTAAGCAAGTTCAACTAGTACGGATGGTTATTTATTCACATGTCTCGATATCGTCGTAGTTCTCTGTCAATCACCGTACCCAAACGTAGTATATATATAAATATAAACGATAATCAATTGTTATGTGTGTACACTCCCATTCTTCTGTTAATTTACGGAAATATCATGTGGATTACTTACCTGCCGCAGTAAAAGACGAGAACACAATGACCATGGCCATGGCAAGCAGAGTAGTGTTAAACGCTCTGGAAACCTTTAAACTTCAAGCTTGCATATTTACATGAAGGAAGGTTAAAGTAGCTATTAAAAACTAGTATTTACCGTTCATTTGTAGCATGCATAGCACACTTCATTGTTTAGAGATATAGAGAATTTTAGAGTTTTTTAATTTTATTTGTTTATAAAATGAGAAATTTATAGTGTATTAAAAATGTGTATAGGGACTAGTGCCTCCGACTGGTATGACAATGCAATGCAAGGCCGTGCAATAGGAAGCAAATCCATTCTCTTTTGACGATACACCCGAACAGCCGGGCCTACCAGATTTGGTGGTTGAACGGGTCGGTCGGCCGTCGCCGTGCGACTGTACGACAAAGAACGGCATCGATCGACCATAGTATTTTATTGTCCGGAGTCCGGTCCGGGGTGCAATGCAACGCAATGACAATTGACAATGCGTTGCTAGGTCAAAATATGGTCATTTCTATGGACTCCGCGACTAAACATTTTATTTTAACTTTTTATGAAATGAAAAACTTAGAAAATAGTTAGAAAATTATAGAAAATCCGTACTAGTTGAACTTGCGGACCGTGTTCAGCTCGGCGAGCATGTTCTCTGCCGAGCGGTAACGGACATCAAGGAGGAGCTTTGATTCTACGAGGGAGAGCGACAACAGTCGTGGAAGACTGTGTTCCCTTTCTCGTAGAATCGGAGCTCTTCCTTGACCAAGTACGGTGCCATCCGGTGGAGAAATGCTCGCCGAGATGATCACGTAAGCAAGGTCAACTAGTACGGATGGTTATTTATTAAAACATGTTTTTGAGCTATAGTGTATTAAAAAATGAGTATAGAGATATAGATAATTTTATAGTTTCTTAATTTTATTTGTTTATAAAATGAGAAATTTATAGTGTATTAAAAAATGAGTATAAAGAGTAGATGGCAACTGCTTTCGGGTCCTCGGCCTCTCATGGGTTTCCAAAGCGACTTAGGCCGGGCCTCCCTCTCATTCCATGCGGCAAGTGTCGTGATGAGATGAAGATTATGATGGAGTACCAAGTGAAGAAGGAGGGTCCCAACAAGGATCGTATCTTCTACAAGTGTCCGGATCGTAATGTGAGTTATTTTATCGTATTTAATGATTATGGTTAGTTTATACCTATTTTCATGATGGTTGTGATTAAAGTTCTAATTTTTTGTTTTAATTTTAGTGGGATGACAGTGGACGATGTTCAGGCTTCTACTGGGAGGAAGAGTATGTTGAACTCATGCAAAAATATCTTGCACAACAGACAGATACGGCGGCTAATGAGGCAGTGATCCAGCCGAAGAAGCCCAAAGATGTTGCACAATGGGGATCTGTCTGTTTTAGTTGAGATTGGTCGCGAAATCCTTGTGCTCCTAAAATGTATTTTAGCTTTAGTTCTTTTAGTGGTAGTTGGGATTGTCTACAATGTAGCGATGCTTTCATAAATTTATACCTTTTGTTGTGGCACGCATGTTGTATAAATAATTAATTATGATCTAGATTTTAATATGGTATTTATGTCATGTAATGCAGATGAGTCGGCATTGGATGTACAATGCTGATCGCCGCTCCCAAGAGTTCATTGACGGCGTGCATTCTTTGTTACGTGCGGCCGAGGCAAACAAACGCGACGGTTTCATCTGCTGCCCATGTGCCATATGTAAGAATACGGTGGAATATCCTTGCTCAAGGACTCTTCATTCACACTTGTTCAAGTCGGGTTTCATGCCAAACTATATTTGTTGGACGAAGCACGGAGAAACCGGTGTTGTAATGGAAGAAGGTGAAGAAGAACAATGGGACGACAATGATATTATTCCCGATGGTGCGTGCTTCAATGATACTGCAATGGGAGAAGCTGAAGAAGAGGTAGCCACAGAAGATGAGCCGGCTGATGATCTTTGTTAGGTCATTCGTGACGCACAAAGAGAATGTGAAAGTGAAAAGGAGAAGATCAAGTTCGAGCGGATGGTGCGTGCTTCAATGATGACCCAACTTGTGATGCAGGGCAGAAAAAGTTGGAAACCACACTAGAATCACTCGAGTGGGGAGAGCGTGCAAAGAATTGGTTTTTCGCTCATGGGGGAACACTAGACCAGGAGACAGGGAAGTGCGTTTATGGCGCAAGACTGCAAGAAGCAGCAGAAAGATTGTTTTATGCTCAGAGAGCTACTGCTAGTGGTACGTTCAGGCCCAACAGAGAGAAGGATGAGCTGACATACGCCATCGGGACTATTGAACATGGTGGCCGAACTAGAGGCAAAGGAAGTGTCTCGTGGGAGCATGGATTCCCTCAGGACATACCTTCCTACAGAAGCCGCCAGAGAAAGAAGGAAGAAGAGGCACAGCGGCTCCAAAGGTTGGAGGAAGCGGTGCGTGAAGCTGAGGCGAGAAAAAACCTTGAAGCGAGAATGCAGGAGGAAATCGTAAGGCAAGTGCAAATAGCGGTGAGTGCAAGCAAGCGAGCATCGAGCCGAGAATCAACATTAGCCAACTGTTTGGTTGAAAAGCAACGCGCTTCTCTGGAGATACCAAATCAAGGGGACACAGACTCAAGCTTCCCTGTGGATGACGTCACTGAACCTTGTACATCGTGTGAGCTACACATTCCGAAGGGGAATTTCACAATCAAGGTGGCTATCGGTCTTGTTAATCCTATCGACCGAACCAAGACACCAAGGATTCATGGGAATATAATCCAAGAATGATATATTACCATCTCGGTAGATAAAGCTGAAAAATGTTTTAGTGATTTGCCTCTTGACATTCTTGGAGGCGATGGCGAGAAGACTCTAGGAGAAGCAGAGAAGACATTCATTCTATGACGTAAGCGCTACATCATCATTCTCGGGATGTTGGCTCCACCTCCTCCTGAACTACCTCACCATAGGTGCGGATGAAAACACTACATCATTAATTTATATTGGCTTAAATAATTAACAATCTGCTCATAATAATATGTCATTCCTTTTTTTGTAGCAGATCCTCCCCCAACCTAAATCCAATTGTTCAATTGCCAGATCATTATAGTGCTCTGTACGATGACATTGTGTTGGAAGGCGAGGCTGCATCCACACCATCTCCAAGGAGGTCTCCAACGCCGCAGCTGCCACCTCCAAGGAGGTCTCCAACGTCGCTGCCACCACCTCCAAGGAGGTCTCCAACGCCTCCCCCGCCCCCGCCTATCAAGAAGCCAAGTACTAGCAAGAGGCCAGCCCCGCAAACGAAGAACCAGTCCCCGCCGGCAAAGAAAGCCACCGTGAAATCAAGGGCTATTCCCAAAATAGTGTCTGAAGAGAAGGAAGAAGTAACTGATGCATATAAAAAAGATATGTCCAGATTCTATGACTAACTTAAAAAGGGTCAAGAAGCAAGGAGAAACCCGAAGAAACCGTACTTCTTCGTAGCTCCAGATATTCTAAGAAAAAAGGTGGCTTCTTACCAGCAACAACAGCGGGAATCTCGTAAGCCGTCCAAATCAACGTTAACGGACTATGACCGCACTCTCACCAAGTCAATTGAGGCGGCACAGAAAAAGAAGCGGGCAGGGAAAGGAGTTGCACAACTCGGACAACAATTGCACCAATCAGTCCCCCCTCTAGTTGTTGTTTATGAATATGGTTCGAATTTAGGATTAATGCATCAGGCAAACATACCTCCGGATGTCGATTTGGATCACCTTGGTGAATTTATTGAAGAGACTGGTCTCGACCTTTACCAGATGTTTGGTGATGGAAACATTGAGAGTGCGGCGGAGGTTGATATTTGGAGGAAAAAATTGGTACTAGGCCAGAGTCTATACAACCCTCAAGCCTTATGTACCTGCTAAACAAGTGGTACATGCAGGCGTCTACCTGTGGAGACTTCTGCGTTGGTGTCAGAATTAGAGACGAACATTGGTTCTGTAGCGATGATGTTATGTATGTTGACTTTGCAGAATTTCATCAACTATACCACCTGACCTCTCTAGACAAAGTTATCATTAGCTGCTATTGCCTGTAAGTAATAATTCTTTCGATCTATTATTAAACTCATCATATGTGTGTATATGCATATAAATTATCCTAACAAGTACTATATATATGCAGATTTACAATGACAGAGCTCAGAAAGAAAGGCTGCAATGAAATTGGTTTTGTTGATCCCCATATAGTATTCAAAGACCCAATTACTTTAAAGCCTAATTGGAAGTCTGAGTCAGAGAGTAATCTCATGAACTTCTTAGTGAACCAACGCCACAAGAAGGATATACTCTTTCCCTACAACTTCAAGTGAGTGTTAATAATGTCGATCATCCTTAATGGCTCATATGTTGATTCTAGTTAATTAATGAGTGTTATGCGTTATATCTTATAAACACATGCAGCAATCACTGGATATTGATGGACATCGATCTGGTGAAAAGTCACTTGATAATCTATGATTCGATGAGAAAACCACAACAAGACTACCAAGATATGATAGATATTATCCATAGGTAATTTCGGTATCTCTAGCAACTATATACACACACAAACATGATGATTAACTATATCTGATGACGTGACAATTTTTTTATTGGACAGTGTTTGAAAAACCTTTATTGAGAAGCAACACATGGGAAAATACAAAGCGCCACTGAATGTAATCCATTTGAAAGTAAGTCCCCTAAATCGCATCATCTTTATTAATTAAACATATAGCTTTCACCGGATCACCAGATTGGATGACAAATCTTTTTCTCGTAAAGTGTTGTCTGAGGCAGGAACAGGAGAACAACTACTGTGGTTACTATGTTTGCAAGTTTATCAAGGTGGTCTCCCAAAGAACTCCTACAGAGAGACTCAAAGTACGTTAAAAATACACTATATATTTATTTAATTATTATTATTGATTGTGTTACTATGTCTTTATATATATATATGTACATATATTAATTTATTTTCCTTTAATTCAAACATGTAGGCTCGATGATTGGAGGAAAAGATCATACGGCAAGACCAAATCAAAGCAATTCAAGAGTCTATAGCCGGATTTTTTAATAAGCAGGTCATCGATTCCAAGAGCGAGTTCTACTTCGACCCAACACTGCCATGGAAGCCAAGCTAGAGGATGAGAGGAAACTTGTTATATCACAACAACTATAATGCAATCTTTTGTAATATATGCACATGAAATAATATAATGTAAAATACACATATGCATGCATGCATGTAAATATATATATATATATATTGTATGATTTAATACGTTCATTGTGCTTGAACCGAAACATACTATACGCGCGTATAAATATATAATTAGCAGCGTACAATACGACTTCGAAAACCTATTTTGAAAAGAAAACAAAAAATGAAAAGAAAAGAAAAAAGAAAAAAAACCTTTAGTTGCGGTTCGTAATACCAACCAGGACTAAAGGTGCCGGCCATCGTGGCATATCAAGAGGCACCTTTAGTCCCGATTGGTGTTACTCACCGGGACTAAAGGTCCTCCTTTAGTCCCGGTTCCTGACTCGGGACTAAAGCACCCTCTTTAGTCCCGGATGCTTGCTCCCGGGTGGGAAACCGGGACTAGAGGGGGTTCCCCACCGAAAGTAAAGCTCTGTTCTCTACCAGTGGTGGTTTTCCAACAGGGAAGGAGCTCCTATACGAGGTTCAGTTTAAATTTGTTTTGCTCCTAAAAATGACTTGAGGCAGTTTTTTTTTTTTGTAAAAAGTTGTTCTCTTGTTGTGTTAGATTGGTTTCACCACGTTTAGCAATGCACATTAGGCTTCATAGTTGCTGTCAGTCGCCTTGGAGTTCCGGATGAGAAAAAAATTCAACTAATTCTTAGCTAATACCTAATTAACAATTATTTTACTAGTCGGATCGAAGTAGCTAATAACAGCTAATAGTTAGCTAGATAATATTAATTATATGAGGTAGCAAACTATTAGCAGCTAATGGATGCAAACAGTTGCAGATCCTTGAAAATCTTTCTGTATTTTTTTGATGTTACTAAACTTACTATGGTAGTATAGGAGATGAATAAAGATAGGAATTTCCAGGAAAGTGTCTCTGACTGATGTGAGAAATTTTTTTCATTTCGGTGACGGACCCGCTTGTTGGCTCCTGCTCAGTGCACTCCGTTTGCCTGCCAGGGACTCGCACCCGGAAATCTTCCGGTCCGATGATTCCCGCGCCGAGTCTTCCCGCGTCCAGTAATTCCCGTGCGAGTCTCGACTACCGAGGTGTCGGACCACCGAGCCTAGCGACAGCGACGTCCGGTTCCCGTACGTAAGTTTCTTTCTTCTTCTCTCGGTAGGCTGCTGGTTGGCAGTCTTTTTCTTCTTCTTATTTTTTCTTAACTCCTACTAGGCTGTTACATTAGTTTCTCTTTTTTATTTCTTATATTTCTTTTTTCCTTTTCTTTTCCCTTTTTTTTTCTTCTTGTGCTTCATTTTTTTATTTCCATTTGTTGTTTTATGTTATTTTTTATTATTCTTTTGACTGAAAAAGAAGCTGAATATGCGGTGAACGATCTCCAATTAATATTGATGTTGCTGAGTTAACTTAATTAGTAGGCCCTATGTTAGAATGGACAGAGGAGCTTTTAATATGTTTATAATAGCTTCAAAACATCATCATATGTATTTTCGCTTCTTTTAATTTCAGTGCCATGATCTGATTATCTTCGATGCTGCGTACTGTATTCCATCTCCTTTATTTCAGACTCTAGCACCGCCGGCTCGCACCTGGTCACTAGCCGCCTACGTAAGCAACGACGTCACGCGTTCACCCTCCCGTTGACTAGAAAAACCAGTTCACTTCTTCTAGTTCTAGCACCGCCAGCGCCAGCGCCAGCGCCAGCGTCATCTCTGATCTCCCTTCTCCTCTCCCGCTCGTGTATAAGTAGCAGCCTGCAGCAGGTAGAAGGTGCACATCCATCCATTTCTAGCTGCCGAGCTCTTGGTCGCGCACCGCACTCAAGGAAGGAGAGCCAGAGCTAGTCGTAGCACTCGCGAGAGCAGAGCAGAGCAGAGAGGAAGCCATGGCTACGTCGGCGGTGAAGGTGTACGGGTGGGCTATCTCGCCGTTCGTGTCGCGGGCTCTGCTGGCCCTGGAGGAGGCCGGCGTCGACTACGAGCTCGTCCCCATGAGCCGCCAGGCCGGCGACCACCACCGCCCGGAGCACCTCGCCAGGAACGTACGTGCCTTGCTCCCTCGATCCACCATGAATTTGTTTGTTGGTTTCACTTTCGCTCCGCTCATCGGCCATCCCTCGCTTCGCTGACGCTGACTGACACGCGCTCCTGTGCTTAATTGCTGCAGCCTTTCGGGAAGGTGCCGGTGCTCGAGGACGGCGACCTCACGCTCTTCGGTAAGTTCATCATCATCCATCGGACGTGTCGTAGATCTATTATGAAAATATATTTGATGATTAATCTAGTAATATTCACATAATAGTATTAATTTTTATATATATTTAGTCGAATTTAAGATTATTTAACTCTTCTTCTAGGATTATTGAAATCTTTGAGATGTAAGGTGTACATTTTTAGACGGACGGAGTAATTCACAGTTTTATCCTAAGTCAAGCTTTTCAACTTTAAGTAAGTTTATAAAAAAAATATGGCAACATTTGCAACATCCGCTTGGAACATCCTCTTGCAACATCCACTTGAAGCACCTGAAAACGCTTGAAACATGCTGATGAAACACCCGCAACTTCGGCTTGGAACACCCTCTTGCGACATCCGCTTGAAATACTAGCAACATTCAGATAAAACACTTGCAACATCCACTTTAAAACACCTTTGAAACACCTCAACGCTTGAAACATGCACTTATTGCTGTTGAAACATGATAGGATTACTATAGAAACATAGGGTGCGTAGCTACACCCCTAGCACGCCAATATTTCTGATGCATGGTCACATTAGTTCTATTGATTTTTTTCATCAATATTTTAATAATACACTTACTTTTTAACCTATAGGAGCAGATTTTAATTTAAAGTGAATACAATTTAGAATGGAGGGGAGGTAGTATTTTGCTTTGATTCTACGAGTTCTAAGCGTGTGATATGTATATTTTTTTTCAGAATCTCATGCGATCGCGAGACATGTTCTCCGCAAGCACAAGCCAGAGCTGCTAGGCACCGGCAACCTGGAGCAGGCGGCACTGGTGGACGTGTGGTTTGAGGTGGAGGCCCACCAGCTGAGCCCGTTGGCGATCGCCATCGTGGTAGAGTGCATCTTCACGCCGTTCCTTGGCCGCGAACGCAACCAGGCCGTCGTCGACGAGAATGTAGAGAAGCTCAAGAAGGTGCTCGAGGTGTACGAGGCACGACTGAGCAAGTCCAAGTACCTCGCCGGCGATTTCCTTAGCCTCGCCGACCTCAGCCACTTCACCATCATGCACTGCTTCATGGCCACCGAGTATGCCGCTCTAGTCGAGGCGCTCCCGCACGTCAGCGCCTGGTGGGAGGGCCTCGCGGCACGCCCGGCGGCCAAGAAGGTGGCGGAGTTCATGCCGGTTGGTACGGCCGGGGCATCCAAGAAACATGAGTGATGTTGAAGCAGAGTGATGTGTGTTGTGCTCAATTACTCTCTCATGTGTAGTACACGGTGCCTCTAAAGTTTGTTTTCTTAAAACTCACTTTTTTCTGCTTTCTCCTCATGAATAATAGATCTTTGGAAATTTAATGTATTTCATCATATTTAGCAAAAAAAATATTCTTTTGGATTTTAAATCGCTGTGTAGCAGATATCTTCATCGAATCTGGCAGATGGCCGCTACTACACACGGTCAAAGAGGTCGTTTTCGCGGCAGCCCCAAGCAACTCTAAAAGTCACCTGCCTTTATTTATATATCTAAAAATAAGATGTCACCTGCCAACTACGTCTAGAAATTAATTTATAGGGGTAGTTGGAGACCTGACTTAGTAATAGAACTTGATTTAAAAAAAACAAAAAACAATATTATTGCTCCAGCGCCCAAGGGCAGTGACACATACCAATGCAGTGGCTGTTTATTCATTTTAAATTATAATAAAACTCTATGCCTAGAAATTTGTTAGCGGTTACTTCATATAAGTGTATACATCAATAACTAGAGTACAATTTAACTGGAACATTATGATACATCAATACTGATAGTTTAAATGTAGCAAGTTTTTATAAAACAGTACTACTGTGCATATTATTCTTTAATAGAAGAAATTTAACATCTTAAGTGTCGTGGTGCGGACCTGAAACGATTGTTAATAAAAACCATTGAAATAACTAGAGTACTCTAGTCTAGGACCTAGAATCTAAAAATATAAATGAAAAACTCAAATAAAAATGCACGAGCATTAGAGTTTGAACTTAACAATTGGATGAAAAACTACAACAATTAATAAGATCTGAAAGCCAAATCGGACCCATGATGTCATAAATTGGAGTCAATGAAAGCTGATACAACTAAAAATACATATTAGAGACCAGTAGAGTTGAAAGCACGCAAATACATCTAGAGTACTGATGAAGTTATGACAACTAGATAGAGATTATATATTTTCAAAATAGGCATTGTAGTAGGGAATGAATAGAGAGACTAAAGATTTAAATTTTGATTATTTCTAACATACTAAAATTAAATACTTACTATGTAACATAACATTCTAGATTGCATTTGACCTGGCCAACTGATAACGATACGTTGACAGTACCAACCTCAGCCATCACTCTCACTGCGCTCCGCTTTGGCAGATAGGCTGCTGTCACCCGGCGGCGACCATGACGTCGGCCATGGCGCGGAGCAGGTCCTCGAGCAGTTCGTGGAACCCTTCAACCTTCATGGCCCAGTGGAGCACGGCGGTGATGCGATATTTCACAGCGGCGGCGTGCTTGCCGCCGCCCTTGGGGCTCTTGTCCGGACCGCCGCGATGCGCGTGATCACGGCGAGCAAATGATAAACTATGGTGAATTAGGCAACTTAAAAAGTCTAACTCTAAACTATGGTTTCTTTTTCTATCCTCAGCAAAACCTATATAAAAAGATAAACTATCTAAATGTGCAACTACAGTTTTGCTAGCGTGTTGCTATCTCTACCGTAAAAGGAGTTATGCAAACAATGTAAATGCGGAAGTTAAAGAGTAAGTTAGAGATATGCAAACTCCCGTCGACGACTTCGATATTTTTACCGATGTATCGAGAAGCGCGCAAGCTTTTCCCTAGTCCTCGTTGTAGCCCCTCATAAGGAATCCCTCGCAAAGGTCAAGCTCCTGGTCGGATAACTCCGTGGATAGCCCCGGGCCTTTCCTATGCGCAAGTGGGTCTCCGGTGTGCCTTCTGGCAAGCCTCTCCTGGACCGTTCCCTGCCGTCTTCACTATCAAGCTTCCGGTCGAACCGCCGCGGGCCTTGTTCCCTTCGGTATACGGTAGCGGCCACACCACAAACGCGGTTGGTGTGATCTCGCAAGATTACAAGCCCCTCCGATGTACAACAATGGTGCGCGCAAGCACCGAGTGGTAAGAGGTATGCAAACCTCACTAAACACTAGGCCTAAACCTAGAGCAAACGCATAAGCGGTGTTCTAATCAACCTAAGCACTTTGCAAAAGCACCTACGCTAATCACCTAATTAATCACTAAGCACTATGCAAGTGGAGATCACTAAAATGGTGTATCAACACCCTTGATATGTTTCCTCAGCTCCACTCTACTCAAATGGCCGATTGTGGGGGTCTATTTATAAGCCCCATTAAGAAAGTAGCCGTTGGGGACGAAACCCAACTTTCTGCTACTGACCGGACGCTGATCACGTCCTGACCGAACGCGTCTGGTCGTCCCGACCGTTAGAGCGCGCACGTTGATCGGACTCGGCTCAGAGTCCGGTCATCATCGACCGGACATGTCCGGTCGCGCTGGCGCCGCTCTGGAACCTCTCTGGACTCAATCGGACGCTGCAATTCGTGCGTTCGGTCGTCCGGTCTGCTGCATCCGGTCACGCTGAAAACACTGTCGTGACGATGAACAGTGTCACCGGTGCGTCCGGTCACAACTGTCGACACCTGCTGTTGCCTGGAACCAGATCGGACGCGTCCGGTCACTCATAGGGCCGCATCCGATCACCTCTGTCGGGCTCGTTTCTTCACGATCTTGCGTCCGGTTTGGTTCTAATCTTCGTGCTTGTACTTTGCTTGACCTTGTATGTCTTCTATGCATCTTCACATCTTTCTTGAGGTGTTGATCATGAGATCATTACGTCGCATTCATCCAAATCACGTTTTGTATCCTATTGAACTACAAAACAATTACTTATAAATCCATTAGTCCAATTTGGTTGTGTTGGTCATCAAACATCAAAATCCAAAGTAAATGAGCCTAGGGTCCATTTTCGTTACAATCGCCCCCTTGTTGGTGATTGATGACAACACGACCAAAACAAGCAAATAATAAAAATTTTGGATTTTAAAAACTATTTACTTGCTAGGATGCAATGCAAAAGGGCAAGTGAAACGACCTGATTTCCACGAAGGTAAATCCACAGAGTCGAAGTGTAATAAGACCGTTGTAGATCATATTACCCAAAATTCCAGTCGAATATCACATCCATACAACGTAATATCAGAGAACAAATAGTGCGGAATTACATAAATTATTACATTGTCGTATTGGCGGAATCAAAAGTAGCATTCATTCAGAATAGCTTTAAGATCGCCAAACTCGAGCGTAGGAACGAACCCCTCAACCGTCAAACTCCTCAGAGCTATACTCCTCAGCAGAACCTGTGTGCCAAAATTTATCAGTACGATTTGTACTGGCCACTGCCACCCTATGAGCATTGCTTTGTGGAAATTGGATGCAAGTTGGATATATTCAAAAGGAACCTATAAGGCTGGGGTTTCCTATGTTTTAGCATATCAAGTATATATAATAATAGTTGGTCAAGTTTTAACTCCATTCCCACACCCATTCCACCCCATTTCCGTCCAGAGCCAGGTTTCGATCCTGGGATCGATATACCACCATCTCCACGTCATCACCACATCACCACCATACCATCGCTCAGTCGACAGGCCAACTCCCTCTCGGCACTGTCTCATGGTCCGTAGCCCCCGGCTATGACCGACACTCTCTCACGGGGGAAGAAGAGAAGGACTCATCTCACTATCTAGTTTAAGCGAAACCCTGGAAAGGTCTATAGCCGACAAGTCGGCATATGTATCGATCGATCAACCATACACTCTACAGAGGTTTTACATAACCGCAAGATCTGCCTTCCTCGCTGACCGTCGTCAACTGGGCTGATTCCGACCGCTTGCTAGCCTAGGATAATGCCACTCTACCATTCAGCCCTGGTACACCCCAAGTCTAATCTGGGGTGGCTGAAATTGTGAGTCATGAGCCGGGTCCACAAGGTCTCCATGAAGTCTCGGAAGGGTGTGGGGGAAACCTCCGCGCCCCGTACCTCCTTGCACTGTCCGTTATCAACCTAGCAATAGTGGCAATATCCTACCAAGTAGTCCGGCCGTCCCGCACCATATAGGGCGAGTGGTACGTAAGGCTTCTCGGTGAATCTAAGTACTAGTAAGTCCTTAGGGATGACCAAGCCAGAATGTCTTCATCAGGGTTTCCATTTACCGTGCCACCACAGTACCTCCACCCCGGGCTCCTCCCATCACAGGTTCACACCCAGGGCCACCTCATATACCATTTACCCACCATAGGTATCCATTCCAGGGGTGCCCAGGTAGCACCCCACGACAAGACTTGCCCCAGGCTCGTCGTATACTCCAACTTGGTCGACACAACCCTCACCCTCCACGCACCCAAGTCACACACGCAGCACTCTCCCCATAGTCCAAATAACACCAGTTTCCACCACGCATCAATGTAGTACAAGCGTAGTAGAAGTAATAAGCAATGAAATATAGCAGCAAGCGTGTGTCTAGCCTAATAGCAGGGTAAGCAGGGGTAAGGTTGTGTCAAGGTAAAGGCCATCAAGTAAGCATACTACAATGCAAGTCCTATCTTAGTGTGAATATAACAATAAAGTAAAGCAATAGCAGTTCTATATTAGCCATGCGTAATAGGTGCTACGAGGTTGGGTGGGATGTGGCACCTTCAGTGAAGTCGTCTCCGTACTCCTCACGGTACTCTCGGTCCTTGTCCGTCTGGTTCTCCTCCGAGTCTGCATACGATCGAATTATAGTCGCGTTAGCGACGTCTATAGAATAGCACAAAAGGCAATGAAAAATTCAAAAGAGCCAAATGCACTCAAACATGGGTTCATTGCGTAGAGCTCAATTTTAGATGAATTTAGGTCCTAGTTTCATATTTTTATAAGGTCATATGAATTAGTTATGAATTTCCGAAGATTAAATCCATTTATGAAAATAATGAAGACTGATTAATTCAGGGCTGACATGTGTCACACTGTAACTGGTTCACGTGGCATGTAGGGACTTGGAGTGGTGTATCAGCTGGTGAGGTGGTCGGAGAGATCGCCGAAGTGGTCGGCGAGATCGCCGAGGTGGTCGGAGAGATTGCCGAGGTGCTCGGAGAGCTTGCCGAGGTGGTCAG